TGTCTTTTGTTTCTCAGAGTGTGAGTTCGGTTATGCTTTGGCATAACCGATTAGGTCGTTTGTCTTTTCGATCTTTACAGAGTCTGTTTCCTACTTTATTTGAGTCTATTGAGTTGTCTCAGCTACAGTGTGAAAGTTGTGAGTTTGCTAAGCATTGTAGAAAGYCTTATTTATTGAGTAATAAAAGGAGTGATAATTTTTTTGATATTGTGCATACTGACGTTTGGGGGCCTTATCATATCCCTTCCATGGATGGGTACAGATATTTTTTGTTATTTGTTGATGACCATACCCGCTTTTATTGGGTTTATCTCATGCGTTCACGAGATGAGGTACCTTCYCTGACCCAAAATTTTCACCAAATGATCCTAACCCAGTTTGATGCCAAGATCAAAGTTCTTCGATCTGATAACGCGAAGGAATACTTTGCTAAATCATTGACATCTTATCTTCTTCATCATGGGGTTATCCACTAGAGCTCTTGCCCTCATACACCTCAGGAGAATGGAATTGCCGAGAGGAAGAATAGGCACATTTTGAAAGTGGCTAGAAGCCCCATGTTTACTTCCAATATCCCTATTCAGCTTCTCGGACCCCATCCCTCCAAGTTCGAACCCAAAGCCTCCAAATGCATHTTCCTTGGTTATGCACAAACTCAAAAGGGTTATTGCTGTTATGATCCTGTCTCCGGGAGGAAGTTTGTCTCCATGGATGTCACTTTCTTTGAGGGGACACCCTATTATCCTCGGGTTGCCCCTCAGAGGGAGAGTAGTGAGAGTGGGGGTTTGAGTTCTTGTCTTCATGGGGAGAGCAGTGAGAGTGGGGCAGTTCCTTTACCTATTCCATTGGGTGATGAAAACTGCAATGGTGAGGGTGGTCAGAGAGATCAGGAGTTGAGGGTTTATCATAGGCGGTGCAGGCAGGTTGATCCTGATCATCAGCAGTCCAGACCAGCTCCAATCTCATCTGCAGCTCTAGGTCCAAATACTTCAGTCCTAGAGCCCACAGAAACTTCCCCTACAGATGATCTTGACCTTCCAATTGCAGTCCGTAAAGAGAAATGACATTGTACCACATCCACAGCCCACT